TATCTTTTGTGGCCCACACATGTGTGCAGAGAAGACCAAACATCCAAATACTTCAAAATCCATAGTAGCTATGTACTAATGAAACCCCACCTGTTCGAAGTTTCACTCAAGTGAATCAAGGTAAAACCCTTTCTGAATATCACTTACATTTCAATGAAAATCTGAGCGGCTACAGAAGTTTAAATTCAACGTATTCATTTCAGAACCATGTGCAAAATGGGAAACATTATTTGTAATAAGCTATGTTTGTAGAAGTGTAAACACCAGGCCTGATATGTTTAATTCCCTATCATTCACTCAATTCAACTTCCCACTCAACTCTCCTTTGTCCAAGACATGACACGATGGAAAATGAATTTTGTGAGGGTTGCTTGGAAAAGGAAATCCAGGCATTAGTCACTCGGGCCCCTTCAGTTCTGTCAGGGGAGGGGCTTTCTCACTTCAAGTAAACGAAAGATTCCTCAGGACTTGCCGTATTTTGATTTTCTTTGAAGTCTCCTTTAGTGTCACATCTGATTGCTATTCAAACAGTGCCCTGCATTCATTCATTTGCCTTGATTTCAGCAACCCTGTGCTGGAGCCTAATTTTGGTTATGTAAGGGAACATAGTATTTTTATCTTCTTTATTGTCTGCTGTGTTTAAAAATCACAGCTTATTCCAGATGACTCCAACACAATGTCACTGGAATTAAAACTACGCATAGAAACATTAAAGTTAAGGGTAAGGCTGAGGACTCGGGTTTCAGAAGAACTTCAAACAGTCTGGGACTGGAGGCTAGTTTGCGTAAAACCACTAAATGAGCTGGCCCCATGTGAAGTAGAAAAATTCCCTAGTATATGAGGGCGTGGACAAGCCACTTCCCTTATTTGCGACCCCCTCACTCCTGTGCCCCACTGTGATTGCATTGACCCTCTTCCTCCATGTGCCCCTAAGGCTGCTCTTATTGTAGCAATGTGGGACTTCAGTGCACTTCCTCCTCTCTGTTTGTCCTACAGGAGCTTGGAGAGACAAGGGAATTGGAACAAGCTGTCGAAACAGCATTTCCATGGGAGCGCAGGTCAAGGAGACCCCCAAGATGTCCTTTCTCATATGCGGGAAATCCACCTCCAAAGCCCAACACTAAACATGAAAAATGATTTTACAAAGAGAGAAAAATAATATTACAAGTCACGTCTGAGTGAATGACAGACTCTGTTTTGTTTATACTGTTTACTCATCATGGTATTGTAGTTACATGTCTGAGGGCATGCATGTGCATTGGAGACAGGAGAAGGGAAATAAATAAATTGGCATCCCACTAGTATCAATCACATAACCTTTCTCAGTAATTATGTCCCATAAGGGAGCCAATAGAGTAATTAGAGGTTACTACAGAGCAGAGTGTGGACCACATCTATGATCCCCCGGGGACTTCGTGTCTCAACATGGTTGCCAGAGTGTGAGAACCTCAACCCATAAGAACACCTAAACACATAGAGCTGCTACAAATACAGCACCACAGCATGATCTTACACAACAAGTTTTGTCTCAAATGATATAAAGTTACAAATGTATTTAAAGACACATTTAAATATATGAAAAATGCTTAAATCCTGAATCCAAATGTCTCACGTGGTTGTAACATTTCTTACACTCCATAAAACCTTCTTTTTTTTTTCAAATCAGTGGCTACATCGGGAAGAGGCCATGGCAGTGTGAGAAACCTCTGAGACATGGGATCTCAGGACAAACAGTGTGATCATCACTCTTTCCTTTGACTAAGTATGAATGAATCAAGCAACAGGTGATTTCAAGACTGTTTTTCTCCTCAAAGCAGCAGGTGCCTGCCTCAGTCCAAACAACACAGCAGGAGCCTTTACGTTCCAGTGTGAGAACCACAAAGAAGGTCCAAGTATACATGAAAACTGCACCACCCTCTGACATTTCCAACACTCTGAACCTATTTGGATACAGTTTGGCAATGCCCACAGTAACAATGTAGATTTCAATGTTGAAAATCAAACTTTCAACAAACGAATTCCAAAATAAACAGTTTTTGTCTTTATATTCTGATCTCCTTAATAATTATCTTACAATCATTTCCATAAGAAACTGTTATTGACAGCCCCAACAATATTTGTTTTGGTTTCGTCTTGTAAATCGTTGGATGTGTGTGCCACCATGGCAAAATGCTCTCCTGGAGACACCTACTGAGTACTGTGACAAGCGCGTTGTCTGTGGACAGATTTTTAAAAAGGAAACATTAAATGTGTTCTTTTTCAAATACTTTGAATATACATCTATACATGATGTAAAGATGTATATTCAAAGTATTTGTTAGTGTGGACTAGTAATTGGTAGTTGATGGTGCCCAATGGGCATAAGAGCATTTCTCTTCAACGGACCATCACTTAACTGACTTCTGTTTTAACTGCTGGGTCCTGCAATGACTATCCCCTATCCTATAATCTAGCCTTCATCTATCCTACCTGTCACAGGTGTTCTGTTGAGAGTCAGTGTCACAACCTTGGAAAGTGTGATAGGGGGCATCAGTGCTCCTCAAATGCCCTGCCCCCACCTCCTTAACCAGCTTTGATGGTTGAGGGCTTGCAGAGCCTGACAGCTGCTCTTAAATTAGAGAGTAGGAGAGAACACAGGACCCAGGAATGTTTGGATTGTCTGGATTGCCTTTCTCTTCCGTAGAGTCCTGGGAAGTTGGCCACAACTTATTCCAAATTGTGTCAGGATGCTGGATAATCCTGTACACCATATTTATGTATAAAGCATTCCTTACCTTATATTTTAAAAATGCCTTTGGTTATGCCGGGTGACTTATACGAGGGATATTGCAGGCAGCGGTATTGGAAAATAATATAACTGAGTAGCAGAGGTATAAGATGTCAGTTATTTCTGACAGGTTGATGATGTCTGCTCTAGCCCCAGTGGTCAGGCCATCCTGAGGTGAAGCCTTCTCTCTCGTGCATTATCACACCTCCTTCATTAGTTGCTGTGGAGACAGTGACTAGGTCATTGGGGTCAGTGTGGCCAGAGGCATGGCTTTAAAATTACCCGGAGGATAAAGTGCGCCCCAATAATGGTGTAGTGGCCATTCAAGAGAGATTAGCACTACGCAGCCTGGGATACACCCAGGAACACAAGCTTCACCTAAAGCTGCAGGAAACTAGGCAAAACAAAGGAAAGACAGGCAGTGAGGGAGGAGCACAGCAAAGTTCCGAAACAACATAAATCTAGGGTTGTGAGGGGCTGACATGAGGTGGATGGACATGCATAGTAAGGCCATGAGAGAGGAGATGGAAGCACGAGAGATTGATAGAGTGGGGGTGAGAGGATGGGGAGGATAGAAGATTTGAAGGAAGAGAGATTAAAGGAGGGCTGAGTCATGATGAAGTAAAGCTGAGAAGCACAAGCTGCCAGATAGTAAAAGGAGGTTGGATCCAGCCGTCATGCGGATTTTCTCCTCCTGCAATAGACCAGCATGTTGTTTTTCTTCAATGTCTTTTAATAAAAGTGGAATTACTGCAAGCCCTCCTCTCTTCTCTGACCCTGGGTGGTGTGATGTGGAATGTCTGCTGCTGTCAGCCACCCCTTCACCCACTCTGCAACTCAACCAAGCCTTTTTGAAAAGGGCTACTGCTTGCTTCAAACAAACAGTGCACCCATGTGACATATATCTAAAGATCTAAATAATAACAGTAAGAAGGACTTCATGTTCAATGGCCCATGTTAAATCTTAGTACATGAGAATAAAACAATAAAACAAGAACATTCTGAATATAAACATTCATTCAGTGGTCTTTCGCAATGGGAGAGGCTTAGAAGGCCCTTTCACAAGCAATCGGGGTAGTTTCTGCATTAGTGTACACACATTATACGTTTTGAATAAACTAATATCAGAATGGTCAACAGTACTTTAAGAGTTTCCTTTTTAAAGCTTGGTAGTCAGCCCTGGAGCATAGAGCACTTAGGCCACACCGACCTTGAACACTTCACCATGGTCCCACCCTGTCTTATTCCATTACTGCCTTCCTTATCACTCAAGTGGACCTTCAGGCTAGCCATAGCCTGCGGAAGGAATGTGGGATGTGTCTAGTAAACCCACCATTTCCCAAATTCACCCCTTTCTCTTAAATTCATCCTAAACTGACCACTCAGCATCATGAGCATCATGTTTTAATGAAACGCAACAGCTGCTGTGGCGTGTCTGTGTATGATAACAGCTTTAACTGGATCTAGCTCTGCTGCTGCCTTCCAAAGCCCATCCAGTGTGATGAAGAGGAGGATGGTGGGGGAAATAACCACACATGTAATCTTCCACCGCTTCAGTGGGCTGGGACAAAAGGGCTGGGGCTTCCATGACGGATTTTGCGATCAGAGACTATTTGGCCGACAAAGCAAGCAGGCCTCTTGATTTTGGCATTGGTTAGTCTCACATTAGTGTTAGCAAGTTTCATGCCAGAAATGTGCCTATATCCACTCTCTATCTTTAATGGCATAACTTCATAGAAGTGTACATCAATCTGGCACAATCACTCCATTAATAAATATATCCATTGATTAGTATCTCACAATAAGACTTTGGAAGAATTAAACTGCTGCCTATGATATCTCTATAATATATTGAGATTTATGTGATTGTGGTAAAAAAAAAAAAAGCAGCATATTTTGCATCTGTATGTATAGAGGGAACCGGGGCTCAGTTTGGGGGGTAGGCAGGTACAGGCTTATCATCCCATTATTGATTTCTTCAGCAGTAATTATACCTTAGTGCACTATCGCTATACGCTGGCTGTTGTTTTGATTGCGCACCAGTCAGGTTTAGTGTTTTCTCCCTGTTCTTTTCTTAAGGAAGATCCTGGCTCATTAGAGCTCTGCTGGGACAAGTAGAGGCACAGGTGAGGCTGTGGGTGCAGCCTCTCTCACCTCAGTGTGTAAGTGTGGGAACCACTCAGCCGCCAGTAGTGCATGAGTAACAAGGACCCTGAGGGAGTGTGGCGTAATCTCCTCCTAATGCTCTAGTCTCTTCTCTTTCTCTCGCTCAGCGGAACACACACATTCAGTCAGAAGACAGAGTATACTCATTCATTTATCTCAACCAGCATGCGTTTGTAAACAGCAATCTTCAAATGAAAGCTCATTCTGAGGTGCATAGACGAAGACATATTTGTATTGTAAATACAGCTACAGCCAGGTAAATAATACCTTTCATTGTTGCATTGTTGGAACAAAGCTACTGAACTTTTCTGAAAGAGCTTGCATGACAAATCACCTCATAAAAACGTACCATTTAGACAAGTATGTTACACAGATTTGGAGCTTGGTGAGGTTTGAGTGCAGACGTCATAAACGTCTTTAGAGATTAATGGAATTGAGATTCAACCTGTTACAGTAATACCATGCAGAGTTAAAATCCATATTTACCAAGTTTAACTTTTTTTTAAAAGCAATTCACATTTTGAACACCAAAGGTTTCGGTACCATCATCTCTTCTCAACCAACATCAGGATAGGATCAAGCCAAACAAAATCCTACAAAGGATCAACTGGATAAAGGTAAATAAAAACAAGTAGTCAATTAGATACAAAGCGTAATAGTTATCCATGTCATAATTCCTTTAATCTGCCCTTTCAGATATAGCAATTATTTTTATATTTCCTGATACGAGAAAGTGTGCTATTAAAGAATATTGTGATTTAGATAAATCAGCACTTCATTAGGCCTTGTTCTCAACCTATCAGATTTCACTATCATCTTTAAAACCGAGTGAAATACTGGCATCAGATCAACTAAAACTCAGTCACCAATTGAGAGCAAAATTGCATAATTGCTAGAGAAGTGCCCAGGAGAAAATGGATGATGTTTCCCATAATGAATACAATTTGCAAAACCATGTGCGGCAAAAAGATATTCACAAATATTTTACCACACAATCGCCACAGTATACTTTGCTCAAGGGGAAATAATTGATTATGATGTGTAATGTGGCTATCTCTGTGAAGGAATGTAAAGGAATGTGAAGGAATGACAATAAATTGCTCTTCTAATACAGATTTTATCGAGCTGTGCTGGCGGGCGGTTGGGGGCAGTGGGCTGGCAGCTGTTGCTGGTGTGCGGGGGCCCTCAGGTCTCGGCCTACCCCTAATGGCCGGACCAGCTGTCGGAGTTCTGTCTGTAGGGGCGCGGGGCTTCAGGAGGCGGGGAGGGCATGAGAACTTCCACCCCCCTGTCCTGGGGGGCGGGTCCCCGCCTTGTCTGCCCTCCTCTGAAAGGGGTTGATTGATGGCGCAGGGTTGACACCATGCTTCCCCAACAATTGACTCAGGAGGGACAGAGGATGAACAGAGAGCTCGGGACCCCTCCAAGTATTTCTCCTCTGGTTTTCAGAGGCAAATGTGGGATCAGTCGCAGTTATAATTCAGTCTTTTTTCTCAATATGTCTTTTATTTGACATTTTTTGTGAAGCAAATGCCACTCGAAACAATTTCAATGCTGTCATTGCAATAATTTTGTACACAAACTCAAGTTATTTGATTTGTATTTGTCAGACTACACGTGCTTTAACACGGTTTTGTCGAATGGCTTAAATGACCCTCTGCCTTACGTTAAGATAAGCCCCCCTCTAGCATGAGGCCCTCTGTGCCCTCTTTCAAACACTGGTTCAATTAACAACAGTGTGAAGATCCACGGTGCTTCCAGGGTGGACGGCGCCTTGGCCTCAAGCGTGTGTGTCAGGTCAACATTGGGTATCAGCCCAAAGTCTCAGGACTGGGGCCTGCTAGCATAGACCTGACCTTTCGTACTAAACCCCAGGATCCTCTCTGGCTCCCTTTCAGCAAGTTGCCAGCACCTCCGTTCTCCTTTGAGATTTACAGCCCTGCAGAGGGAGAGAGGAGGTGGAAGAGGGGGGGGGGTCACTGTCCGGCAGCTGTTCACAGGTCTTAAGTAGCTATTTCACACGGAAACAGAGTCATATCTTTCTGAATTCCTCCAGCTGGCCAGTCTCCAGCTTAGTCTGAAATACATTCCCGAACGGAGATGTATTTTGCACTTTTTGCTTCCACTCTTACTGCTTTGTGGATGTATGCCTCGAAACCTTCCACTGAGTCTATGTCCACTGTTAACTTCTGTCTGAAATGGAAGAGTCAAATGTTCTCCATTTGGTTGGTAACAGAGGATCCTGATTCTGGAGGAAGGTATATTCAATTCCATCATTTCTCTGTGTTTTGTCCCACTATCTTCCGGGACAAAACATTTGAAAAATCATGATGAAGTGAGAAGAAGTTCAGATAACAAAAGAATCCCATAGGTAAAAATTCGATTTATATCCTTCTCCCTGTCCCTTTCCCTGCAGAGACAGTGTACACATTCAGGATTTAATGGCCGTTTAGAGAGCTTGTGTGCAAGTCAAACACTTTTTCCCACAATCCAAAGAAAGATCCATCATTCACATGTGTTTACTTTAGGCAAAAAGCCCCAGTCTCGAAGTCACTGTGTGTGTGTGTGTGTGTGTGTGTGTGTGTGTGTGTGTGTGTGCGTGCGCATTTGTTGACGGGGGCTGCATGTGCCTTTGTCACAAAAAGAGACAACATCGGAAATGTCTACATCTATTAAAACCTCGGAAGCCCACTTCAGTTGAAGCTAAATCACTAACCCAGAAACCATGAATGATAAAGAGATCATACAATTATGAAAAAGCAATAAAGGAGACAATCCAGATCATCAACCTAAACGCTGTGCCGCAATTGGCTCCAATGTCTGTCTGTAGGGGGTCTCAGCTGCTGATTGGCCATGACCAGTCTTGTAGAGGGTCTTCTAATCCTCTCGACACTCTCTGTGGGTGCTCTTAGCGCTTTTCCCACATAAATCAGTCTGGCCTGGGTGGTAAAGTCATCACGTCTACTGTGTCCACAAACACTGCCTGTTAGCACCCCATCACATGGAGCGTGCTAGCCCTGAAAAGCCACTGAGGATAAAAAAAAAAGAGGGTGCTGGCTGACCACACTATACATTTAGGCTCTTACTAACTGTACTGTTGTAATGTTAGAGATGTTTTATATAAAAAATGTGTCAAGAAATTAAACAAAATGTCCACCTCCACAGCTACCATGAGCTTTATCTTTCTTGATTAGGCAAACTCAAATCCTTTTAAGAAAAATATTACATTGTGTTTGTCTCACTTACCCCTGTTATACAGCACTTCACTGCTAGGTGAGTGCAAGGAAGTGTTAAAAAGGAAATTGTTATCAGTACACAATTTGTCCTCTTACCAATGTTTGGCCTTCACTTAACAGGCTTTGGTACAGTATCATTCACATGCAGTTCTGTATAAAAGCCTTTCTGTTACCAAAGTGCGTCACAATAGTGCTTGTTATCCCAAGGTATCGAATGCTCAAAGGGAAGAATTACAGAGTGCTTTGTACAGCTGGGTTTACAAAAGGACAGGTTCTACATTAAATGTGTAAACTAAGATGTCCTGATTAAAAGTAGTCATGCTATTTCTTCAGATGTACACCTACTAACAACGAGCAATTCTAACAACTGTTCAAAGAGGAGTGTTGCTCTCTCTCCAACAGAGAACAGAGTTATAAATCCTGACCTGTCTCCTCCATGTTTGTGTGATTAGAGAATCCCCCTGAGCCCAGCGCGAGAACTTTGTCGCTAGGGCTTCCACTCTCACACTCTCTCTCTAAAACAAACAAAACACTGACTTATTTCATCTGTGTGTGTGTGTGTGTGTGTGTGTGTGTGTGTGTGTGTGTGTGTGTGTGTGTGTGAGAGAGAGAGAGAGAGAGAGAGAGAGAGAGAGAGAGAGTGTAGGTGTGTGTGTGAGAGAGAGAGAGTGTGTGTGAGAGAGATGTCGAGGGATAGAAGAGGTATAAGGAAAGAAAGATTTCACATGATTAAGAATGAATTCAATGAAATTAATTATATTTACAGACTATCGTATGGAAAGTATCCCGCAAAGAAACCAGAGTCTGTCCTACTGCTGTTTTTCACACAAGACTTACTTAACTGTTCTCTTTCTTTTCCGAAACAATCAAGTAAAGGTCATATTTCCACCGGGAAAGGCTGGAGCAGCCACTTAAACTAACGAGAACAGATTGTAATCCTTTAAAATAAAGCATTTTAGCTGTTGAGTGAAGAGTATTGGAAGTCCTGATTCAAGTCATTTGTTTGTATTCTTCTATTTAATTGGATGCCCGATGCTTTGTATTCTAACTGCTTTTAGTTGTTACTATTGTTTTGTTATTTTTATACACAAATAACTACAATCAGATATTCAATAAATTATTCTCTGATCAGTTTTGTTCTGGTATTTGTTGACCGATAACTGCCTCCACTTGTGACATAGTTGTGGAGAAAACATTGCTAGGAATGAAGTTATCAAGGCCTTCAGTTTTTCACTGCACATGAAAAACGTCCCTAAATAGCAACATACTGTAAAACAACTGTCTGACCCTGAGCACACTGAAAAATCTCTCCTTGGGACCATCTCCAACTGGAAGCAAATAAAACAACTCTCAACACCTGCCAACGTGAGCTACCACATCCCCAGAGGGTGAAAGAGAAGTTTCACAACCACATAAAAACTGAAGTAAACCTCTAATTATACTTGTAAGGTACATAAACACTATCACAGCCTTCTCCTTGTTTTGTGTTTTTTTCACTTGCTGCTGGTGACAGTCAGTCAGAATCTCGCCACCACATATCAGGTTAGATACAAGCCTGTGTGGAGATGGCATGATTGGGGCAGATTTGAAACAGGATTTGCACTAGTATCCAAGTGCTAACGAAGAATACAAAATTAAGTAATCATGTCATTGTGCACAAAAAGCTGAATCCAGCTATTGAAAACTTTGCACTCAAACCTTCATCACATGGTGGGTGCCAAATGAAGCAGGTGTCTGCGAGGCCTAACAAGCTCTTTTCACTGACCCCTATAGATGACGTCACATGCACTAACGAACTTCACTCCAAACCAGCCAGCTACATTCATGGCCCTACCCATGCCTGTAATTTATTCAAGGCAAGGACCAAAAACAGTGTGATGGAAAGGGGGAGACGGTGGTGTTTGGGCAGTGTTCTTGAATATTAGTGTGCTGCCCTCCCCTGCAGAGAGAAACTGTGTCATAATGCCGGACTCCTTTTATGATTCAAATCAAGGCTATTGTCTCTGTAAGCGACCGGCTCCGCTCTGTGCTGCAGAACAACCAAGGCACTATACGCCGGCTGCAGAAAATGAGTCCATTGCCATGGGCTGAGGAGGTGCAGGCTGAGACAGCAGGGCTGAAATGCAGTCCATGGGCCGTGGGGATAACAGGAATGTCTGCACTCTCTACAATCATGTCAACACAATTCACTCTCTTATCTGCAATTCACCGACTGTAAACACACAAGTAAGCCTGCACAAGATTGTTTCAAATGCTAATCGACTGCAATACAGAAGCTACTATAACCTAGGAGTCCTGACTGTTTTTGTTTTTTTACTACATCAGGATATTTAAATAATAATAGTAGTAATAATAATAGGTAAATTGCCAGCGTACAAAACAACCACCATGTTTAACATCAAAAAGTGAGTCATACATAAAAGAAAAAGTGTTAATTTAGGAAAGGGTTAATATCAAAATAGTTTTCTGTGGTTCAGGACTAGCATGCAATATTGATAAAATATTATGAGCTATATGAGTGTTTTCCAGGTTTGTATTTAGCTTTTGGTTCAATTCTTGACATTTTTTTCTCTACAGTTTAAAAAATATTCTTTAAGTTCACAAGTGTGTAACTTGTAGCTCCATGGCTCCACAAAACCCCACATGTATTTAGTGCGTGTGGTGGAAAAAGAAACATGGCCTATGCTTTCACTTTAAAATCTGCTAATTTATTAATTATTGCTCTATTTCCTTTTTAACCCACACTTTTACAATAAGTGGGGGGAGGGTGGTGGTGGTCGTGTGTCTGAAGGGCCCCCTCTCTATAGAGAGAGAGACACAGAGAGAGAGAGACACAGAGAGAGAGAGAGAGAGAGAGAGAGAGGGGGGGGAGAGAGAGAGACACACAGAAAGACAGAGAGAGAGAGACACACACACAGAGAGACAGAGAGAGAGAGAGAGAGAGAGAGAGAGAGAGAGAGAGAGAGAGAGAGAGAGAAAGAGAGAGAGAGAGAGGGAGAGAGAGAGGGCGGAGTAATACCAGACGCTGGGACCGATCCTAAAGTAAAAGTTTTTCAAAAGTTTTAGGAGGTTAACCGAGAATCACAGCAGCCTTGGCCGAGCTGCGCGGATAATACGAGATTGGGAACTAACGCTACGCATTCCGGCTAACTTTATGAAAAAGCCCCCCTCGTTTTTGGAGCCTTTTTTTTTATGTGAACTTTATAAAGGATGTATTTTTACTAAAAGCCCAACTTGAAACACTGGAAACTTTTCCACCGAAATGGAAGGGAATATTCCATGGATTATTTTGTCATTTTTATTGTTTATGCAAATTTGCTACGGTAAGTCCAAATCATTTAATAAGCTCTACATAATAGGTAGACTGGACATAGCTGGACATCCCATAAATTGTACTGTTCCAAATATGATTGGGGCTATTGCCCACTGACATGTTTATATGAAATATAGATTTTCAACTTTTTATTTGTGTTTCATTTGGTGGTTTATTATTAGTTTGAGTAACAAATAGTTTGCGAAGTTGTCCCAAAGCTATTTGCAGTAGCCTTATTGAACTTCAGAAGATAACGTTAGGCTACCGAAGAAACGAATCATTATAAACACAAACTTAGTCACGTCAATGCAATGTATGTGGGGGAGAAATTGATATTTAAACAAAAACAAATCTGATCTTCTTACAATTATGCTTTTTCTTCTGTGTTGTAGAAGTTTGTGCACTATATATCCCATCTGCAGCTCCACCGACTTAACAAACCCAAAGTGTGGAAGTGCTCCTGTAACATCAATACAAGTTTGCCCGAGGGTCGTAGTATTGTGCAATGAGGCTTGACATAAGACGTTTAAAAAATATAATGATTGTATGTTAGAACATCATTTGTTAAAGCTAAATCAGGGGATGATGAGCCAAAGCTACCCCCTCCCTTTTTGAACAAAGACCTTTTAAACAACTGAATGTGTTTTCCCTCGTAGCTGTTGAGCATCGACTGTCAGATATTAATGTAATTCTCTCTAAACAGAAACAATCTCATATGTCAGCATGTATCTCTTTCATGGAAACCAAAACGTTATCTGATTTGGATAAATAAGTACAACAAACATGCTGGTGTGTCTGCAAGATGCCACAAGTGGCAAAGTCTTCCAAGCTAGACATGCTTGAAATCCAGGAGTTTAAAGAGTTTACATTACTTTGGGTAATTCAAAGATACTTTACAAAGGGTTTATTAATATATTCTGTATACTCTTTTTTTTAACATTATTTAAAAGATACTTAAACAGTAGGATGAATTACAGGTTCCCCTTATGTTAAAGTCTTTTGTCAGTTGTGTGGTTGTCTAACACATTTCTCCAATTTCAACAGGGTTCCGATGCCTGGATAAATTCAAACCTTGTGATAATGGAGGGACATGCTTAGATTCACCCTCTCGATGCATGTAAGTGGAAATGATGTAAAGATCTGTGATTTATCCTGCTTTAATACTTCTTTAAGTCAGCTTTTGAAAGGTTTTCAAGTGTAGGCCTTGTGTTTAAATTGACAGGCTGTTATTTGTGAGTTGGTTCTTCAAAGGTTCAGGGGAAAGATTTATTTTCAGTGTGATACTTAAACATGAAGTGAAGATGCTTTCCAAATGTTCTGTTGGCTCTGGTGAAAGATATAACAGATTGATTCACAAGCACCATCAAGCATCAACATGTTGGCTTTGCACCTGTTGTTTAAGAGCTTCGTCAGATTTACTCACAGCTTTTCCTCAAAAGCAAGTACAGTTTTCCTGGTGTGTGTCTTAATGTTTTTGCAATGCTTTTAGATTTTTTTTTTGTGATTTTTCTTTGTTTCTGCCTGCTTTGGGTAGTTTTGAGCTCTCACATCTTTTAACAGTGATGAAGCTTTTGTTTTCCAAATTGGTGAGGGGGGTTGTGTGGGAACCTCTTACAATGGTCGAGTTAAATAGCCTACAGTGTCTTGCCCGGGGGTCATTTGTTATTTTTAAGAACAGTTTAGGAAACATGCCTGAGTGTTTCAGATGATACATATATAGTGATTGATAGAACAAAAACTTCTTGGTTGCCAGCTGTTTCCCTCCAAGACATTACATTTATTATTTTATTGGAGTGGACTAGCAGTTTACAATTGCCAGGTCAAAGTTGAGCCAACAAGGAATGTGCTTTTCACAAGAAAAGACCACGGCACATTGTTTTCAATTATATATATATATATGTTTTTTTTGTTTTTTTTAAACATGTTCATAGTTCCTTAAAATTATTGATCAGAAGTTGCCATTACACACTTGCCAATGTGTAACTCTACTGCATGTGCAACAAGTAACTACCTCCCAGATTTCTTTAATCATTAGCTGGAGCCAAGATGGGTGAGTGTCATTAAGTAACTCAATGTCTAATTGTATGCAGCCAGGTTTTTTTTTCCCGAGCATATCCAAGATCATTTTCTGGGGTAATCATTTACTTCCAGCACCACACAGAAAAAAAAAACGAATGAAAGTGATCACAACCTACATTTTTGAGAAGTGTATTAATCT